AGACAAACGCGTGTCAGCTTTCGCTCAATATCGCATCATCGTACATAAGTTTGCTTCTATAGAATATTACTTATAGCTTATCAGCAGAGCTGTCATAAGTATGGTTTTATTAATTTCAAATGAAATTAAATCAAACTTTATATCATTTTTAATCCTTTTTGCTGAAAAATAATCCAGCTTCAGTATTTGCATCATAGAACTACCGGACAAATAGGAAATTCGGCGTAGATTATATCGTACATGCTATATATGATAATGAAACATGAAAATATTCTCTATATATCACTATAGCGATGTGATTGAATAAAACCAATATCAGCTCTATCTCAGAGTTAAGTGCACGATTCCCGTCAGAAAAGTAATATTTATTACATGCCAGGACAGCTAGACACACAATGCCACGGGCAGTATACTATTACATGCAATATTACATAACACTTATGTGTAAAACTCCACTAAGATGATACGTGGCGTCATCATAACAAACACACAAGTGATTTATCACATGTTTACCTTGATCATGTAACGTGGACAAACAACGACACGATACAGACGTGGCTATTACTCACGAACTGGTTTCTTAACAAGGTTTTGTAAAGCCTTTATCATTGCGCTTAAGTTCTCATTGTTAGCATTTGTGAGGTCAAGAACGGCCATCATCATTTGCTGGCCTCGTTTCTTTTTCTTTCCACCTGTGTTAGATCCCAAAATGTTCATAAATATCAAGGAATAGGCCACCTTTAAGACCATGCATTTCTGGACCACTTAATTACAATACGTATATGAATTATACGTTTAAGTAAAGTTATTGGAAAGTCTTAGTGAGTGGCCGTGCGTGTCATGAATAATAGGTAAAGACATGCAAATCTCTATGAAAATTCGTTATCTTTATACAGTTCAAAGGATTGTCCTTTGAAATATGTTGAATACTTAATTTATCAACATATGTTTTAAAGGACCTTTGGCATTGAAATCAACGAGATATATTACTCTTTAATAATTTTATATCAGCAAAAAAGTAATTTTAGATAATCCTATGTTCTACTTTTGTATTTAATTATTTTCAAGATAACTGTTCTTTCTTGCATAAACAGCAGGAACAAATGAGATTGGTTACATAAGCACTTTGGCTAATTAAGCCCTGATTAGAAAGAAGCATTCTTCAAAAGAGCGAGTGTTTTTTTATTGGGAATTTTTGTCAATAATTTTAAACTATTAATAATAAAATTGATTTTATCATGTTTAACGTGTAGTATGATGTACTTACGTTGCTTTGTATCAAGTTGTACTAATCATTTTCTTTCAATAACGTTATAAATACGTGATAAAATTGTCAAGCCCACCTTTGTTGTTGTCAGTAGCAACCTGTGAGGGAAGCTGTGGGATCGGCGCGTCTTGGATAGGGATTCCCTCCGTAGGATTCTGAAGCACATCAGTGGGACCTGGTTGGAAAACGTCTTGGGGGACAGGAACTTGTGTGGCTATGGCGGGGTCGGGGATAGGCTCAGATGGAACACTACCTACAACCATGTCATTGTTACAATGAGGCAACATCAAATGTGGGATTTTATGTTAAAAGTGATACCATAGAACGTTCTGCTAAGGCAGGTGCATTAAATGAATGTCTTTTATAAAAAAAAAACCACATGTATAAATTTCCTTTTTTGAAATCTAATTAGACCTTCCGTCAATGATCACTTTCAGAATGTTTGTAGGAAATCACACTTCGTACGAACTACTATATGTTTTCTCACTTTTGAGCCATTGGATAAATAAATGTTTGGTTGATATGAGATTTATGTGAATTTTGATTATAAAAAATGTAATGTCACAATACTTTGAAATTTCATACTAACGTAGATGTTAATGTAAGTTTATATTTTTTACGAATCGGTGTGTGAGTTAACAGACTTTTTGGATATAATGTGTGTTTATGGGGAAATTATTATGGTTATTTTATTAATTTCAACATTTAAAGACCTTCGGTAATCACTGTCCATTTAAAAATATATGAGTTTTGAGAACATTTCTCTTACCATAATATGGTATAAAATAAGCTACTCGTTTGGAAACCCCTCTTTCACCATAACATGGTAAAAAAATCGTGACTCGTTTGGGGACACATTTCTAACAAAAAAATATGGTTTAAAAGTAGTGACTCGTTAGTTAATTTAACCATTATATGGTGACATTACCTGTATCAGTTGGTATAATTCCTATACTGCCTGTATCGCTGAACACAGTTCCTGGATCAAATAAAGATAACAGAACATTTTAAAAACAAATGTAATTAGAACGTAAGAATAGATGATTTGTCAATATATTTTACAAAGATCATCAAAATCAAAGGAATACTTATGTGTTTTGGGATTGATAAAATCTGTTAATGATCATTAATTCGTTAGAAATCTCCCATATAGATAATCTAGGTTACAATGAATTTTAGACAGAAATATTAAGGTATCATTGAATGAAAATTGTTTTAATTATACTGAGTAACTCATACTTAACACTAAGCGCATTTAATTTAAATTGTTTGAACTACTCTTTACATATTCGACTAAAAAAGAACAAAATCTCTAATAAATTCATATTGAAAAAGACTTTTTAATTTGTAGAATTTTAACGACAAATAATCAGAAAGTTTATACTTGAGCCTGGTTTAGGTCGAAGTAGAGGCTGGTCAATGCCGAGCTGTTCGGAGGTAGGTATCTCTTGGAACGGCATCACAGGTGGAGGGGAAGGGGGAGGGAGTGGGCCGGGGAGGGGGCCTGGAAGCAAACGTGTATACAAACTAGCATTAAGCAACTAGCTAATATATAGTTTTACGGGTTCAAGCTAATTATGAAACAGCAGTGATTAGTAAGTAAAGCTTTATCAATACACAGATATTGTGGTGTGCGTATTTAGTTATAAGTATATAAGTAACTTATACGCTGCATTTTTCTAGAAATTGGAACCAAATAGCATTGTATGTAAAATGCGTACTTTTTGTTTTGTGTTGCCCATAAATATCAATGTCAAATCCCAAAAATCTACAATCATTCAAAAACGCTATTGGTATGCGATAGTCCATACAATGAACTTGTCAGTTATATTTTAAAAGTAGATTACAATGATGTTGTATAGCAACTATCACTAATGGTGGTTCCGAACAGAAAGCAGCCATTAAGGCCACGTACATAAAGATTCACAAAGTGCAATTACTGACTATTAGTTGTATCTTAATTGAGTTGATTAATTTCCAGATGTAACATAAAACGTGCTTGAGCGAGTTTTCTACTTATTCAAATTTAAAAAATTAACAAGCAGGAATTAGATTAAGCGTTTTATTTATTTTGTTTTTACAAAGAACGCGTCAAACAGGAAGTTTATTCAATTATATTGCATTATCAATTTTGAGTGTTCGGTATAGCTAGCCATTTGTAAAATTTAAACATCTATTTTGGTACTGTATTACGAATCCATTACTGTGGATCGCAAATCAAGGGGTACTAATCTTCAAACCGCCACGTTCCATAGTTTAGGATTTTAACTAGTCAAACAGACGGAAGGTGTAAATAAACCAGTTGCTACACTCCTATGTTTGATCAATAGTTCTACTGTCTAGTGGATGTCATGGGTGTTGATAAACCAGGGCATTTGTGGTAGGAATACCATTTCAACATCAAAACAGATATTGACACATATTTTGCTTTATTAGAGGTTAGAACAGTTTACATATTGATGTTTACATTTGTCAATATCATTAACACATATTGATGTTTACATTTGTCAATATCATTAAAACATATTGATGTTTACATTTGTCAATATTGTTAAAACATATTGATGTTTACCCATTACTGTATTACCTTCCGCTCGTGTATTTGACCAAATTGGTCTGTAAACGAGATTTGTTTGTATATGTAGTTTGTGTCTTGGAAAAACTATCTCCGATTATGAATGCATAGAACGGAGAGACGAAAAAACAGTCAAATTAAAAACAAATATCCAATATAAAGTCACACAAACAAACAATATAAGCACCCTTGAAATCTGGAACCGTTGACATGTTTTAGCTTTTGTTGTTAAGCAGATAATGTACCTCATGACTATGGAAACCAGATTTAGGCAGAAAATATATATTGTATAAAGTAACCAGGACACCAGGAGAAACAGCAGTTCACTATAAAGGCAGATTTACAGTTGGGTATAATAATTATCTGTAGTGCGATATCTGCCTGCTACAACAAAGACCTTTTCATTGGCAATATATAAGTCGTCAATGTAACCCGGAGTTATAACTACAGTACAGTATCCCATCATTTCATTATCGTCAAAGAGTTGCAACTGTTGCACAGTATAAGAAGCATTGGTTAGTGTTATATACAGCTGTATTGTCGTTTAGTAACAAATTATTATGTCACACGAGTGTATTTTATTGTTATTATTTACATATTAACAAGAGGTTAGGGATGTTCACGTATTTTATTTGGTTACGATGTGACAAGATTTAAACATAACATCCCAACCTATATCACGTTTTAAGGTAAATGGTAACAATGTATCAGTTATAATCACGGAGAAGAGTTCTACTCAGAGATATTATTTTTTACTTAGAGCATTATTCCTTCTCAATTGGAGATGAGGCAATCAAAAGGGTTTTTATCTGTTTTAGAGTATTTCTCCTTGTCAAGAAACATATCTTTCAAAATTCTTTGTTTTTCATAGGCTTTTGTGTCCAATAAATTGGACACTCATTTTGATGCTGTGTGTTTATAATTCCTAAATGGCGACATTAGTACAATGTAGAATGGAAATTGGATTGAAATATATCACAACAGCGACAATATTTATAATAAAGTATAACGTGCTAATACCCTTTACTTGAAAACACATTCGACGATTATATCAAGGAATATGCTCTCACGTTATCATTAAATACTTTATTGCAATTTTTATAATGCATACAAACATGTAGTCTTTGCAAATGATAAAACATATAACAGGTCGTCACAGAAACAACGTCAACAAACTTTCGTAACGTCCCGTAAATTGAGTTATGTGAGAAAAGCGCAATAGTATAAAAGACAACAAGACAGCAGTTGGAATATTTTATGCCAATGTGATACAAAATGGTACAAGCTTGTGATTTCCGTGCCAATACAGTCGTGTATTTCAAAACGTGTCTCCTTGAGACGATTATATGTCTATTTGTAGTGCAATGACATAGCAGTGCGATACATTCATTGACATTTTATTTACCGGCGGTATTAAAAGGGAACGGATCCACTGGTGATGCATTAAAAATATCTGTGTTTGAAATAGATGAAGATGACGGACTTGCCACGCTACCGCCAATAGGCAAAGAGTCTGAACTTGGAAATGGTGCAGTAGAATCTAAACTTGGAAATGGTGCGGAAGTGTCTAGACCAGGAAAACCACTAAGGTCCAAAGGTGAAAATCCAGGAGGGGCTCCTCCAATGCCAAGCATCGCATCAGGTCCAGGTAGCGCGTTTGCAGAGAAGTCAGAAGAGGAAGGAGGTGGTGGTGTTATGTTTGACACTGGCTCGCCAGCATTAACATCTATGGAAAGGTTAGAACATGCAAAGTTATAAAAAGAAGAAAAGAGTATAAGTTTAGTTAAAAGTAAGACATTAAGAAAAGATTTCAAATAGATAATGAAGATTTCCAAAGGTAATATAAATTTAAGGATCCCCGTAACACTGCCAAAATCTGTTACTAAATTTTGGAAAAAAAAATCCCGCATGACATAACCATACCCTGCGGTATTTTTATGAGAAAAAAAATGAAATATAACAAGAGTATTCTGAGTGTAAAGTATATGTGCTGCTAGACCGGGACTGGGCTCAGATTGTTTTACTATCACTGTCACCGAGTGTGTTACAGTTACAAACGGGAGTTAAGGGGAGGTTACTGTGAATGAAAAAAACCGGCAGTGCAGTGGGACAGGGATCCTTAAGCTAAACACAATCGACAGAGTCAGTTTTACTTGTATTTATATATAGATGCTAAAAAAATGCAGTGTTTCAAACAAATGTAACAATGAACACAATGGCATCAATATATTTCATATGTTATAAACAAAGTAGAATAAACTTTATTTAGGTGAAACGGTTTAGAACAATTTAATGATAGCAACAACAAAAAACCCTACACTGATAGAACAAACAGTTTAACTAACTAAAAACTGACTACTTAGAACTCTAAACAAATTGCCCATGCTTTCTAATAGCCCCAGAGGGTCAAGGTGATATGTAGAAGAAAAAAGGGGGAGGGTCCAAAAATGTTTCATAACTTTCTAGATAAAGGACTACGACAGTGAAATGAAGACGTTAGGAGTGGAAACATTATTCAGCACCATAGACAAGAGTTAATAATGAAACCCACATGTTACAGTATTGGGAGTCCAGAAAACATTACAGACGTACCAAAACAACAGGGAGGACTACATTATAGATATAGTAAAGTAAATCATGCAGATCGGAGAAAGTCTAATTCAAGTTTTATTGCACGTGTCATGACGTAACGAACGCGAAAGTATTTATTAAGTGTGCCTGTACAAGAATCCGTCTTTAGGAACAGTAATGCATCAGCTCTGGTACGTTCATAGCATCATGTAAGTATCATAGTATTGGGTAAAACCAGTCATATGCAGGATATTCCTGAGGCAGTGTATAGATATCCTCCAACAGTAGTCGAATGATGAAAAAACGTTTACAATTTCGTCACACCGTAGAATCAATAGAAAATGCAAATCGTTCACTCAGTCGTAGCTTGACAAAATGACGAGACGGTCTTGAAACGTTCCGATACATATGTATAGTGTCTGTGTCTGAAATTAAATTTTGATATAGTCTGGATATTCCTTACAAACGAGAACTAGTGTGGTCACTGACATGTCACGAAGACAACCGGGGTTCAGTATCAGATTTTATATGTATATGATTATAATGATGATGATGCCTACTAAAAGAGCACAACTATACTTTGTAAACATAGAAAGCAGGCTTAGTAAACTCAAAGTAGATTTTATATACATATTAGTACTACTACAACTAATCCATGGTCGAACTAAACACTTATAGCTAACTTTCCGCATCGTGTTAGATATACTTTATGTTTGGCGTTTTATGCCATAACATCGTTATAATTAACCTCCATATAGAAGTTACTCACGACTACAGAGGCAATGATTATATAAGGTACTATCTTACCGGGTGTACCATCAGGGACTCGAACTCTTATGCCCGGAAATGTACCTGGTGAAGACCACGCATGAATTGTACAGTTCAGTGTTTCTCCCTTGGGTATCTGCAGAGCTCGTAACTAGGTTTTACCGTGTGTTACAAACAGGAGGACCGCAGGGGTCAGAAAACGCACATACAGTTACTTTGTGGTCGTAAATGCTACTATGTTTCCAGACTTCGGACAGAAACAGCGAGTCCAGTTGTCTGGACATATAGTTTACAAAGGACAACAACTCACTAAATGTTTGAGAGAACAGCATAACTTAACACAGACACAACTAGTCATTGCCTTGGTATTTTGAATGGAATAGAATCAACTAATAAAATGGTCTTAATTCATGTACTGAATTCGCTTAACTTCGAACTTGCTTGTACACGTTGTACATTGTGGCCGCTGATCAAGTTCAATGTTCGTCCAAAGACAATGATAAAACATCTTTTGTGGAAACGAAGTAGGTGGAACCCGTACTATCACACGTCCCTTTTGTACGCGAGTATTAAAACCGGAAATCAATTTAAGTTAATAATATAACTTTGGATAATAGAAGTACATGTACTAGGGGAAATTAACATGTTAAACCGTGTATGACAATTGTTTATTCTAAAATGAGAGGTGATCGAATTTTTTTTTCAATGTTAAGTTTGAAATGTTTCAATTTGCTGATAGAATATCAAATATCTGACATGTATACAATCGAATAGACAGTTCATTTATATATCATATTGTTTGCTGGTGTGTAATTGTTATACATCATACCATTTCGTATGAGTATCACCCTTGTATTGACCACATATGTATAAAAACAGTTTTACCTTGTGGAGGTGGGAGAGGCCCAGTGGCGTCAATTGGGAAACCTTCGAGATAAAAATGGCAATTAATTCTAAAAGAACAGAATGATGAATTCATACTGTTACCTTATATAAAATATCTTTATAATATATACAATGTTATAGATATGTGCAAAATAATTACCATAGACTGCATCATATAATAGGTCGGGTTTTCCTGCACATCAATTACTCTTTGCAGAAAATTAATTTTGCTTTTGTAATTCAATTGTTCATTATTGTATTGTCAATTCTGGAAAATCTGAATTTTCCATTTCATACAAATGATCAAAAACATTGCTGTAATAGTATAACGTATTTTCTGTTTAAGCGTTTTAAGCAAAGGCACTAAATCCACCATCCCATCAAAACAAACGTATTGATGAGAAGGGATAAAACGCAAGTGTTAATTTCCATATGATGAAGGGGCATATTCCAACAGATATTCATACATTCAAACTTCCACGTTATAATACAATAGAACTGTTTACACCAACACCTTCGCCGCAGTCGGCGACGAAAAAATTGATGGCTACTTCAACCCCCGCACAGGCGAGGAAGCAAACATTAAAAAAATCATTAAAAGCACGTTTAAGATTAGTTTAACAAATGTAAGATATTGTTATGCGGGTATATTGCTGACGTATCAGTATCGGGATATGCCATTCTGGAATAACAAAACGAGTCTTCAATCATTCAAGTTTCACAGGAATCGATACTTTTCATGCATGTTTATACAGTGTGTGAATATTCATGTCTTTTCGAGTAGATGTAGTTCCTCAGCATATGACGGTGAGTATGGATATATACACAGCACAAAGCATTGGTAGTTTCTGCAAAGCTTATGTGGCAAAACTGTGTGCGCATCCTCAGCAAAGTGTCTGCGAAGGACGAATGGTACATACCAGCTCGTCCACGCATGGAAATAGGGATTCCAGCACCTCAAATACAAGTTTAATTCAGCAAAGGTTATGGTTGTGAGGTTTGAGGAAATCATTTAAGAAAATTTGTAGTGTTCTAATCTTTCGAACATATCTTCCTTAATATAAATTTGGTTAAATGCATGCACATACATTAATGATCACAAAAATGGCTCTCACATTTCTGTGTTAATTCTAACTTTTGCTTCTATTCGAATTTATTATTGAATCTTTTTATCATATAATGTTTTAGCAAGAAAGTCATCCTTGCTTTTCCTTGAAAGCTACCTTATATTATTATTTCATTAAAATATCCAAAATTGGCTGTAGAAAATTTATCTAAATAAAGGTGGTAAACTTTTAAACAGGTTTTCATTTATTCAGTAAGAACTATGTCTTTGAATGAAGGAAAAAAGGGTTCATTGTGTTTCGGATATGCTATAACGTTTGGAGTACGCCTTCCCTCTATGAAAGGTATTTCAAAACAAAGTGACAGATCGTAATCGTCAAATACAGATTTAATGTATCATTTTGCGAACTTCCATATCAGAAAACAAAGATGTATTGTGACCATTGCATACCAAATCGTAGGAAGGAATGTGTTTTAAGTTTTCAGAGTTGTGGTCGTTACTTTTTAAAATTTTACTGACGTATGTGAACTTTTTTAAACCTATGACTTGTTCACCCGACGACAGATCTATTTTACTCCATCATAGCAAGTGTTTAACAACAGTTTGAGTGAATATCTTAGATGCAGGTGTCACATGCGCTTGGATTTCTATACCAAAGAAATCGTGTGTATCGACTGAATGCCAATATTAAAATAACTGTTAGTATGATACATGAATCGATTTCCTTATTTGTACCAAATTCCCGACATTAAATACCTACTTCCTCTAGGACCAGAAGGTGAAGATCCGGGGAGGTTCAAACCTACAACAGTATATGAAAACAATATAATGGCTAATGGACTAAGAATTTAAATAAAGGAAAAATGCCCAAAACTCATGACTGTTTCGAACAATCAGAGCGAATTTTACAAACTTATGCATGCATACAATATAACAACACTATATTCAATGGTTTACAGAGAAAATATTGTTCCATAATAAATCAAGCGAATCAAATCATAAAAAGCTCATAACAAACTTGAAAAATACAGGTTAATATCTCTCCTCGAAATCCATATTTTCACCAAAACCAAAAATCGTCGTTAGCGGCTCCCACCTTAGACTGGTAACCACCAAAAGAACCTTAGTATTAGCTTCGTTTGACTTTTAATAAAAGGTATACATACCAATAGAAATTTTCAAATAATCATTATGATGTAGTTTTCCCCAAATTTGACGTAAAAATTCACAAGACGTTAATGAAATTTCTTTCCGTGTAAATAAAATTAAAAATGAAATACCTGGGAATGGCGGAACTTTCTCTGGTGATAGATCTACAAAAGAATAAATAAAACCTTTTGTCAAAATTCTACCATTGCAAAATACCTGTTCAGCATTCTCTCATCAAATGAAATTATTTAAACAGGTGGCATTAGACAATGAACGTATAAGCTAGCGTCATCAAATACTGTACATTGAGGAATTTACAGTGAACAGTCGTCACTACAGATAACATCTATGCTGTTCACTGTAAATTGACTAATATTAACGCTCTGGTATTTAAACATTCGATGATAAATCTCATTACACAGGTAAGCGCATCACAGATAGTGCTTAAGGCGCTAAAACAAACATGTCTCGAATACTAGCAGTTAACAGTCTATACAGGCGTTGCAACAATCATAAACGTTAGTCAGTAAATTAACAAACACAAGCGTACGCAAAGTTAGTATATAAACGTGCAAACTGGCGTCACTTAAACAAGAAGCAAGCGTTCCTAAAAGCTGAGATACTTAAGTCAGGCAACGTTAAAATAGACGTCATCACATGATCATTTGACGCTAGTCAAGGAACGCATCAACAGGCGCTTCCACCAACATTAACTAGTCAAGCAACTATCAGCATGCGTCACCACGCGTTCACTTTACCTTAGTAAAGACACGTGCAAACAGGCATCTTGTACATAAGCTACGCTAGTTAGAAGCGTATAAACAGGCATATGCATATAACAACTTGACGTTGGTCA